GTAATGCAACTAACAATAAACTAATTATTATTTATTATTATACACGTGCTATACACCACAGAACTCAATTTATGTGACGTAGCAGAGAATGCGTCCTTGAAGCACTTCTACCAGTAAACTTTTAGTAATGTACAAAAGACACTAAGAAGCGCCACCATTTTGGGGCAAAATTGACATATCTCTCTCTAACTCATGGGCCTAATGGATTGCGGTACTTAATCTATCTAGTGACTTTAGACAGCCGTAGAGACCCTAAATAATTATTTAGGGTCTCTAGACGGCCGAATGTTGGTGCGCCATCTCTTGTTCGCCGGCCTTTGACCTGTTCGCTCCAAACAATGGCATGGGTCTATCTATATGTATCAGGGGCGGCTTGTCCTATGAGGCAGGTGAGGCAGTGCCTCACCAATGAATTTTACGCCTTATTAGGATTTTTATTATTTTATACGGACACATTTCGGCCAATAATTTGTGTCTTTTTTCTAAAATTTTAAAAATAAATATAGAAAATTATATTCTTATTTTTATCTCGGTAGGTACTCGTTGCTCCCTTAATTAAACAGCGCGCTTAAACACTCGGCACAACATGTATTTTGTGACGCGAATGAGGCCGACTCGAAGCTTGCCTCTATAGCATATATAGAAATCATGTCGTTAATAGGCAAGCAACCTGCAATACACTTATAAGCGGTATGAGTTGAAAAAAGACAAAATTGAGGCTAGCCTCATTTCCGTGCTTGCAAAAGAGATGGACAACTATATTATTTGCGCGCGGGGAACGTGCGATTGCAATGCAGTCTGCATTCGCAGGAGTATTCAAAATTAGGCCGTTGATTGTTTTGCCACAAATCTGTGTGTGTATAAATTGATTCAAAATTTCGGTAACAGAATTTTGTCTTAAAAGTGCCTACGTTTGCGTGGGTCGCGTTAGTGCTTTGTGCTTGTCATAATTTGATTTCGGTAATCGTTATTTAAGATTACGAGTAAATCGGAATTTTTCTCTACTAACGTTAAATGACAATGGCAGTTCTGTTTTTTCTACTTTCACGTATGATGATAAATTGTATGTAGTTAAGGAATTAAAACCGCCGGTTCCTGATTTGAGTAAATCGTTAATTGATCCATAAAAAAAAATTTTAAATAAATCCGTATTTATATTTTATATTTTTTTCATTTTGTTTTTTGTTATAAATCAAATTAGCTTTATTTTATGTTGTATTTGATCTTTTTCGATATGTTTCCTTTAAAGTTTATTTTAATTTTGTTTTTTGTTAGAAGTTATATTAGTTTTTTCTGACCACGCTTCCCTTTCCTTTTGTCCTGTCATTCTCATCCTTTCCTTGCAAGACCTCCTTACACCTTCACGTTGGTTCTTTGTGGACAGTTAAATGAGTTTACAAATTTGTCTATTTGACTAAATAGAAAATATTTAAGTAAACTTGATTTATTTATATTTTAGAGCGTTTTGTGCTGTGCCTCATCAATTTTTCAAGTCATGAGCCGCCCCTGATATGTATTTAATCAATGGTTCAAGTGAACCGACCATTGAGGAGTGGATGGGGCCTTGCATACGTTTCCATACGCGAGCGAGTGGAATCAACACAAGAAAGAAATAGCTAGAGCGGTTATGCATCAGTTGGGAAAGGACGGCTGACCACGTATCACGTGCTGGGTGGCAAGAAACGCTTCATTTGAACGGGAATTAATACGTTTTCTTACGAATTTGTTCATACAGTTAATTATAACAAACGTTTATTAATGAAAACTATATTTTTACAGTTTTCATTAAAATTATATGTAATGTGAAATAACAAAAATCATGTTAAGTGGTGCAATGGTGGAGATAGTCTTTTAATAAAATGAAATGTATACAGAATGTGCAATATATTACGAATTCAATTAATACAATAATCTTCTACAAGTTAAGTAACTAATCTTGTAGTGTATGTTCATTGGTAAATCTGAATTTTTTAGGATACAGGTAATTACATTTTTGATAAAAGCGACAGGGTGCTTAATAAAATTAAAAAAAAATAAATTGTATGAATTTTCTACTAAAATCTATTTTCCAAATTCACGTACAAATAACTAAAACAATAATCAATAGATATAGAATTCTCTCTTTTTGTAGCAATAATCCATTTTTTTTGTAACTCGGAATGTTTAGGGAATCTAACAAAATTACAAAATCCTTCACCTGTATATGTGAATTACGTAAGAAATGAAACAGGGCTGCTTTCTTTGCACGTCCTATTCAATTATACGCACAATATGATTTCACCATGTTTAACAAACCATCGGATAAAATACAACTTAAGAAGACTGTACTCATTTAAATAAGGTAACTGGAGCCTAAAAAACGCAAATTTTCAAAAACACATCTTCAAACACCATGCGACAGCACGAAAGAAACCTGCAGAAACACGGTGCTGTGCAGTTTCACGTCAATGTTTTGCCACCCAGAGAGCCCTATCTCTGTCCCACTGTGTTGACAACGCGCGTCTCGCTCTCAGCTACTTCCATATAATATTATTTCTATGGAACCGACGCTCTGGCCGCTTCAGTTAAAGAATTCGGGGCATAAATCGTACAGAATTCAACGGAAAACGTCCGCAGAAAGTGTAAAAAATAAAAAATCATCTACAGATTTCCCATTTCAACATATTTTTGTAACTAAAACTGCATTGTAAGCTCTTTTTTAATTATAAATTAAGTCAGTCTGTTTTTAAGATATATGCTGTGAGGCGCCGCCTCACTTGCCTCATATGACGAGCCGCCACTGGGTAAGCGGTTTCGTACACCACACTTTTGGGACTTGTACCTACTGTTGTATAATCGTTAAATGAAATAAACATACAATTCTTGGAAATCACGTCATTAAATTATTGGTGGGGATGATGAGCAAAACTTTTGGTTAGCATTTAACAATCTACATGATATTTTTAATAAGTATACTTACATATAAAATTTGACAACAATCGATCAAGCAGTTTTGGAGGTTATGTGTCTAATAAAAATGTATACAGACACCAGACAGGCAAACAGACAGATCAACGGAAATGGAAAACTACTTTTTTCGTACTCTTGAGGTCTTCTTTAGTTAACGCTCGGGAAATAAAAATGGTACTGCAGTGATTCCAAAATTCCCATAAATCACTTTTAGGAATTATAATCTTTTTAGAACAAAATTTGTCAATTTAGCAGTCGGACTTCACACAAAAAAGAACTGAAGATATCCTAGTACGGCGGGTAGTACCAAAGTCAGGAAGATTAATTGTGAATGATATTTAACAGAATTTTCCATTTATTGATGCAATCAATTGCGATGGAAGTACCTACTGGTACTAACCGCTTATGTTACTAGATCGAGCTATCTTAGAAAATCTGTGGAGCTATCTGATGTTTTAAAATTGCTTGAAACTATAGTCCTGTAAAAAGTGCGAGAACTTTTAGATTTATTTCCACAAATATAGAATCATGTTTGTTTAAATCTTAAAATTTAAACAATAATTTCTTAAATTTAAATTTCTTCTTTACGTCACCAATAAGGAGGTCAGGATCAACGACGGGAATGTAGAACGCTGAAACATGGAATTGCAAGCACCAGAACTACGAAACGCTGACCACCGCACAAGCACCATCGTCAGCGTTAAGAAGGCAGCGGTAATGGAACAAAAGAACATGCAAGAAACTGGGTGGCAATACAATTTCATATCTCTCATTACCTTTAGTTTAGAACCACCCATACGCTGTAAATAGTTAGATTTGTATAAATAAGTTAGGTTGTTTTGAATAAAATTAGTATTAAGCTTTACTGGCTTTTTATACTCACTCCCACAATTCTATCTCAGAATTGTTCAATGTTTCTTAGAATCGTTGCTTATTCGATTTTCCGAACTTTTCCTAAAGGTTACTGATTATTTCAATTGGATCTTGTTTTCGTAACTGGACAGGAAGTGAGATGAGTACCTTAATCTTTTCACAAAAACATGTTTAATAGTTTCATTGTTTCAACAGTAAAGTGCTTTTATTTGATAATTTTAACAATAATGACAATCTCGTGAAGTATTTTGAATAAGTAGTTCATTCTAGTAGTGCTATTGTACATGTAGATAATATAAGGAGGGGATTTTGTAGTATAGGAGAAGTGGGTAAAACTGATAAAATATCGCATGATAGAGTGATTTTTTAGCCATCTGTCTTTTTAGGTTTTATCAATCAGATGATCTTCGAAATTAGAAAACTTGATTTTTTAGCCATTTGTCTTTTTAGGTTTTATCAATCAGATGATCTTCGAAATTAGAAAACTAATTAAATCTAATTAGTTGGAATCTAAAAGTACCGTAACTTTAATATGGAAATGACAAAACGCTTTTGAAAGGATCGCGAAAAAAATGAAGACGTCCTGTCAAAATATTGGAAATATGTAACGTGGCACTTTACTGTTACTGTACAATCTATGTACAACAATGAGTAGACCCTTCCAGGTAGAAGGGTCGGAAGCTCCACCCCCATCATTTTGTGAGTCGGTCCAAGTACCAAAAACGACCATTACGATTACGCATTCCGACATCACAAGTTCAAGTTCGTACTGTAAGCGTAAGAGAAGTAAAGTGTTATTTGTTAACAAGGTGTTTTAATTCCAATAATAACATTCGATCCACAACGGGTCAAAACAGTTACAGTGACCCATCAAGTTGTTACAATCAATTTTAGAATTTACTTTAAAGAGAGCATAAATTTTCACAGATCTTGGTAATGTTATTTAACTACTTATGTACCTACTTATTCTATTTTTTTGACTTTTTCTACATTGTATGTTAAACCACAACCAATTTTACCTACAGCAAATCCTTCCGTAACTTTTGATCTATCATCTTCCATGCATTAAGAATTTTTTTTTTTATTTTTCAAGGAAAAACTTAATTTCCAGTATCAGACAGATGCTTATCAATGATAAGCATGATAAGTTATCATGGTAAATACGGTCTAAATTTCTCTAACCGTGATCCTAATTTTTACTCTAACGTTTTCTCCTTCCTTCCCCTAAAAAATTCCGCTATATCGTTATCTCCCATTCTCACAAGTCAAGTACCTCTTCAAAATCATGTCCATCATCATTTCTTTTTTAAAATCGCGATAAGACCCCGAACGAGCCAACTATATAAGTGACCGAATCCTCACCTCAGTCAAACCAGTCCAAAATGAAGACAGCCGTGATCGTTCTAGCACTCATCGCCTTGGCTTCGGCCGCACCAAAGGTACGCACCTACTTCCACTTTTTCTTGTCTTCATTCATTTGTATTTCTCAGGCTACCAAATTGAGCTACCGCAATTTGTACAAACAACCCATCAAGACCATCACCAATCCTAGACCCAGGATCATCGGTGGACGGGAAGCTACCCCCCACTCCATCCCCTGGCAAGCATTCCTTGAAGTCTACTCTTCCAGCGGAGGGTGGTACTGCGGTGGTTCTCTCATCTCTGCCAACTACGTCGTTACTGCTGGACATTGCGGCGATGGGTAAGTTTTCCCATGATCTACCAGAAAATTTCTAACTCTATGGTCGTCTAGCGCTTATCAAGCCTACGTAACTTTGGGAGCACACGACATCCATCAGAACGAAGACACCCAAGTGAACATTGTAAGTAGCGACATTAAAGTCCACGAAAGCTACGATGGAGACGAAATCATCAACGATATCGCTGTTATTGGTCTTCCCCAAGCTGTTTCACTGAACGACGCCGTCAATACTGTCGACTTGCCAAGTGCCAATGATGGTGATTTTGCTGGCGAAACCGCCACTGCTAGCGGTTGGGGTTTGACCGATGGTCATGGTAACACCATCTCCGATACTCTTAACGAAGTCGACTTGGAAGTTATTAGCAACAAGGACTGCGAAGAAATCTTTGGTTCGCTGGAGTCGTCCATCTTGTGTACGTCTGGAGATCAAAACACCGGTACCTGCAGCGGTGACTCTGGTGGCCCATTGGCTATTGGAAACACTTTGATTGGTATCACCTCCTTTGGTGTACAGTACTGCCCTGGTGGTTACCCATCGGCCTTCACCAGAGTTACCAGCTTCGTCAGCTGGTTGCAGAGCAACACCGATGTGTAATTTTTTTCAAAAGTGTTCTAATTCTTGGTAAATACATGGTTACAATAAAGAAATTTTTATCCTAGATTTTCTTTTTTATTTTTAATGCATAACCTGGAAGTTATACACTACAACATACAACATCCTGAGATGGCTTGTTGCAGATACATATGGGCCAGAAAAAAAAATGGTAGAATGATATGTCGACAGAACTTCCCTCGCCCTAGAAGTAAAGCCCAACATATCTAGCTTCTTTGAAAAATTATAAGATTTGATTTTGCGATTTTTATTACCGGTGGCGTAAATACCTTAATAACTCCGAAAAATGACAAAACAGAAAATTGAAAATTGGAAATTTCTGAAAATCGAAAGTTCATAAATCGAAAAATAAAAAATCTTAAGAAAAGTTTAAAAATTGAAATCTTTAAAATCGAAAAATCGAGAACTCGGAAAATCAGACAATCGAAAAGTAAAAAAAATTGAAAAATCGAGAAACTGAAGAATAGATTTGAAAATTTGAGAAATCGAAAAGAACAAATATTTAAAAGTTTAGTGAAATAACTGAAAAATTGAAAAACTGAACATCCAAAAGAACCAAAATTGAAAATTCGAATATCTGAAAATCGAAAGTTCAAAATTTCGACAACTGAAAATTTGAAAAATCGAAAAGTCAAAAAATCGAAAAATCAAAAAACCAAGAAATAGAGAAATCGAACCATCTAAGACTTGAAAAATTGAAACATCGAGAAATCAAAACATCAAAACGTCGAAAAATCAAGACATCGACAAATCGAAATGTCTAAAATTAAAATATTGAAAAAGTGTTGAAAAGTTGAAAAATCGAAAACTTCAAAAATCTAATAATCGAAAAACTTTAAAGGCTGAAAAACCGAGAAGTCGAGAAATGGAAAATTGGAAAAATCGAAGAAATGATATCCATTAAGAAATCAAAAAAACTGAAAAAAACAAAAATTAAAAGATCGAAAGACTGAAAATCAAAAAAACGAGAAATCTATAAGCGAGAAATCGAAAAAAGATGAAAAATTGATGTCAAAAAATTGAAGAACTGAGATTCTAAAAATGCAAAAATCGAGAAATCGAGAAGTCGCGAAACCGAAACATAGAAAAATTGACAAATCTAAAAGTCGTAAAGTCGAGAAACCGAAAAGTCGAAAATTCAAAAAATCTGAAAAACAATTAATCGAAAAATCAAAAATTTAGAAACCAAATATTGAAATATTGAAAAATCAAAAAGATTTAAAAATAAAAAAAATGAAATATTGATAAATCGTACAACTCAAATATAAAAAAATTAAAAAATCGAAAAACTGAAGAATGGAATAGAAAATTTGAGAAATTGAAAAGTAAAAAAACTGAAGAATGTAATGTAAAAATTGAAAATTCTAAAATCCGAAAAAGCAAAATTCGAATTGAAAACTAATAAAATCAAAAAATCGAAAAATTGAAGAATGGAAAATTTGAAAATCGAAAAAACAAAAATTGAAAATTCGAATATCGGAAAATCGAAAGTTAAAAATTTCGACAATTGAAAATTTCAAAAAAATCGAAAAGCCGGAAAATCGAAAAATCAAAAAACCGAGAAATCAACAAAATCGAAACATCCAAAATTAAAATATTGGAAAAAAAAAAAAAAACTTCCAAAATTGAAGTGCTGAAAAGTTGAGAAATCGAAAAATTGAAAAATCAAAAATTAAAATATCAAAAATTTGAAGAATTGAAAAATTGAAAAATCCCAAGATTCAAATTTCGAAAAATTGATGAATCCATAAATCGAAAAATTGAAAAATAGAAAAAAAAGAAAACCGGGAGAAAAATTGAAAAATCTAAAAACTGAACCAGTAAAAAACTGAGATGTCATTAAATCGAAAATTCGAAAAGTCGAAAAATCAAAAAATCGAAAAATTAAAAAATCAAAAACCTGAAAAATTGAAAAATTGAAGAACTGAAAATGGAAAAACGAAAAATCAAGAACTCGAGAAAACGAAACTTTGAAAAATTAAGGAATCCGAAAATGGGGAAATAAAAGTATCGAAAAATTGAAAAATCTAAACGTCGAAAAATCGGAAAGTTGAAAATTCTAAAAATTAAAAAAAAAACAATCGAAAAATCAAAAATTTAGAAACCAAAAATTGAAATATTGAAAAATTTAAAACTTGAAAAATTGAAAAATCGTAAAACTGAAAAATTGTAAAACTGAAACATCAAAAAATAGAGAAATCGAAAATTAAAAAAATGGAAAATTCCAAAATTTGAAAAATCGAGAAATTGAAAAATTGTAAAATAGGAGGCTTGCAAATTCAAGTATCGAAAATTGACTCGTGAAATCTAAAAATTGAAAAGTAAAATAACCCAAAAATCGAAAATTTGAAGAATGGAAAAAAGTTCATAAATCGAAAAAATAAAAAAATCTTCCGGAAAGTCTAAAAATTGAAAACTTCAAAATTGAAAGATCGAGAACTCGAAAAATTAGACAATCGAAAAGTAAAAAAATTGAAAAATCGAGAAACTGAAGAATGGATTTGAAAATTTGAGAAATCGAAAAGTTAAAAAATTGAAAAGTTTAAAAACTGAAGAATGAAAAAATTGAAAATTCGAAATTCCGAAAAATCAAAAATCGATAAACCGAAAAATAGGATTGGAAATTCAAGTATCGAAAATTGAAAACTCGTAAAAAGAAAAAAACATAAAAATGAAATAACTGGAAAATTGAAAAACTGAAAATCGAAAAGAACCAAAATTGAAAATCGAAAGTTCAAAATTTCGACAATTGAAAATTTGAAGAATTGAAAAGCCAAAAAATCGAAAAATCAAGAAACCGATAAATAGAGAAATCGAAACATCGAAGACTTGAAAAATTGAAACAACGAGAAATCAAAACATCAAAACGTCGAAAAATCGAGAAATCGACAAATCGAAATGTCTAAAATTAAAATATCGAAAAATTAAAAAAAAAACCCTAATATAATTGAAGTGTTGAAAAGTTGAAAAATCGAAAACTTCAAAAATCTAATAATCGAAAAACTTCAAAGGATAAAAAACCGAGAAGTCGAAAAAATCGTAAAACTGAAACATTAAAAAATGGAAAATTCGAAAATTTGAAAAATCGAGAAACTGAAAAATCGAGAAATTGAAAAATTGTAAAATACGAGAATTGAAAATTCAAGTATCGAAAATTGAAATCTCGTGAAATCTAAAAATTGAAAAGTAAAATAACTCAAAAATCGAAAATTCGAAGAATGGAAAAACTGAAAAACGAACGAACGAAAATTGAAAATTCGAATATCGAAAAATCGAAAGTTCGAAATTTCGACAATTGAAAATTTGAAAAATCGAAAAGACGGAAAATCAAAAAACCGAGAAATAGAAAAATCGAAACATCAAAAACTTGAAAATCGACAAATCCAAATGTCCAAAATTAAAATATCGAACAATAAAAAAAAACTCCCAAAATTAAAGTGTTGAAAACTTGAGAAATCAAAAACTTTAAACGTTGATAAACCGAGAAGTCGAGAAATGGAAATTTAAAAAATCTAAAAATTGAAATGTGTATTAAAAAATAGAAAAAAATGTGAACAACCAAAAATTAAAAGATCGAAAAATTGAAAAATCAAAAACCGAAAAATCGAAAATTTAAAAAGTCAAAAATTAAAATATCAAAAATTTAAAGAATTTCAAATTTCGAAAAATTGAAAAATCCAGAATTTGAAAACCGAAGAAAAATTGAAGAATCTAAAAACTGAAACATGGAAAAACTGAAAAATCAAAAACCTGAAAATCGAAAAATCGGGAAGTCGAGAAACCGAAACGTCGAAAAATTGAGAAATCAGAAAATGGGAAATAAAAAAAATCGAAAATTTGAAAAAGTCGAAAAGACGGGAAATCGAAAATTCTGGAATTAAAAAAATCTAAAAATCAATTAATCGAAAAATAAAAAAATTAGAAACCAAGAATAAAAAAATTGGTCTAAAGAGTTTAGACAGTACTTCCCTCGCTGTCGGAAACTTGACGACTGCATGCCTAATGTGTTTTTTTTCTCATTACATTTTTGTAGTGGGAATTTAAAAAAAAATTGCGATGACGTCATCAACATTTTTGCAAGGACACGTATATCAGTTGGGATAGATGTTGTGTAATACTAAGAATAAAATTATTATATTCTCAAATTTTCGGGAAAATGAATTGGGTCGTTTTGAATATTGATTTGTAATAATCAATAAAATAACGAAACAATTTACTCACGTATACGTATCAGAGGCAACTGAAAATCGTGTATGTATAAACATTCTTAATTTAAGATGACAGGCGTAACAGCATACGTGAGAGTCAAACAGAGAAACTGTAAACAAAACGACCATCGGTTTTATTGCTTCGACTTCCGCTTATTATATAAAACATTGGGTTTTATTTTAATTCTTGACGGTGAAATTCACAATTGGTTGATTATAAACATGTCTATTTCACATTCGCGGAACCAAGTGAGCGCATAAAACAAATGCAGGTCTGTAATGTTAAAGTCGATGTAAATAAGCGTGCTACCCTTATGTTTCAACCGAGTTTTTCCTTTAACAAATTTTGTGTCTACCAAATTGGGTTGGCTGGGGTGTAATACTAATAATAAGTGTTGCCTTTAATTTAATCAATAAAATAAATTGACTTCATTAATTTTTTTGAACCACCTCTTAAGAAAATCTAAAAAATATGATATCATTCCATAAATCACAAGTACAAACTCATCATATTTTTTGCATTTTAGATAGGATTTATTCAGCAAAATTTAAGGGTGACGTCATCAATTTTTTTAAGAGGGATGAACAAATACATTTTGAACAAAAGTTTACCATGCTTATAATAACTTTAAAATATTCCCAAGATTTCAAAGCGTTCGGTTTTGTAATTCCTGATTAAATCGATAAAATAAATTCACGCCTTCATTAATTTTTTTGAGTCACCTTGCATATGCAAATCCAAAAATATGAATGGAATGATAAATCACAAGTACAGACTCATCATATTTTGTACATTTTAGATATGATTTATTCGGCAAACTTTCGAGCTGACGTCATCAAATTTTTGGAGGGGATAAGCAAATATATTTTGACTAAACATTTATTATGCTCTTTATGACCTTAAAACATCTGCAAGATTTCAGAGCATTCGGTTTTGTAGTTCCTGATTAAATCAATAAAATATATTTACGCATTCATTAATTTTTTTGAGTCACCCTGTATATGCAAATCCAAAAAATATGAATGGAGTGATAGATCACAAGTACAGACTCATCATATTTTGTGCATTTTAGATATGATTTATTCCACAAACTTTTGAGCTGACGTCATCAAGTTTTTGGAGGGGATAAGCAAATATTTTTTGACTAAAGATTTATGATGCTCTTTATAGCCTTAAAACATCTGCAACATTTCAAAGCATTCTGGTTAGCAGATTAAAAATTAAATTTCAAAATGTTGTTTTATAATTTTGATTTTTTTTCCAAAAATCTGGACGTTTCGGGTGAAAAGTCGATTCAGAGTTGTAAACTACATGTGTAGGACTATGTTATTTTATACAATTGAAAACCCATTTACTATGTACAATTTTGAAGTGACGTCATCGCATTAGTGGTGGGGATGATTAGACAAATTTTGGTTAGCGTTTTACCATCTACATGATATTCTTAATATAAGTACAAAATTTCACAACAATCGGTCGAGTACTTTCGGAGATTATCTGTCTAATAAAAATCCGGGACAACAGACGGACAGACGGACAGACGGACGGACAGACAGACAGACGGACGGACAGACGGACAGACGGACGGACAGACGGACAGACGGACAGACGGACGGACAGACGGACAAACGGACAGACGGACAGACAGACGGAAATGGGAGACCTATTTCTTCGTCTTCTAGGGGTCATGAAAGATCGAGAAAACGTAAAAGTAGAGAGTCGGCCGACGGACTCGATTACAATACTTCCTTTGCTTACGCTCGGGAAGTAAAAATGGAAAAATCGAAAATTTGGAAAATCGAAAACTTGAAAAATTGAAAAATCGAAAATCTAAAAATCGAAAACTCGAGAAATCGAGTAAGTGAGAAATCGAAACAACGAAAAACTGAGAAATCGGAAAATAAGTATATCGAAAAATTGACAAAACTAAAAGTCGAAAAGTCGAAAAATCAAAAAGTCCAGAATTCAAAAAATTTAAAAATCAATTAATCGAAATATAAAAAATTTAGAAACCAAAAATTGAAATATTGAAAAATCAAAAACATTTAAAAATTGAAAAATTCAAAAACCGAAAAAATGAAAAATCGTGAAACCGAAATATCGAAGAATAAAGAAACCGAAAAATAAAGTAAAGCGAAAATCGAAAATTTGGAAAATCGAGAAATTGAAAAATTGTATAATCGAAGAATTGAAAAATCGAATAATTTTAAAATTAAACAACAGAAAAATACCAACATTGAAAAATCGACAAATTGAGAAATCGAAACATCGAAAAGCCAAAAAATTGAGAAAACGAAAAATTGTACAATTTTGATTTTTTACCAAAAAAATCTCGATGTCTTAGACTAAAATTCAACACGGATTCATGTTACTTTTTGACATTCAAATAACATCTATTCAACAAAATTGTAAAATGATATTAATTCTTGGAAGGGGGGTTTCATGAACGAATACATTTTTTATTAACGATTTACCTACTACTTTTACGATAAACCTTTATAAGATTTCAGAACTTTCGCCTTTGCAGTTTGAAAGATAAATTAGAAAACGTTTTATTTTAAAAAAATGTTGAGATTTAGAAATTGGAGACCTATTTTTTCATACTTTAGAGGTCATGATACGTTGAGAAAGTAGCCAAATTCTAGTTGACACCGACTAGGTCTAATTCCAATCTGGGTACGTACCCGACTTTTGTACCACCCTAGTGTTAAAAGTGTGGATTTTAAAAACTTTGAGATATCAATGTTTGAAAAATTGTCAACTCTAAGCAAAATTAAAAAAAAAATCGTTAACGCGTAAAACCAGCATACATACCTTCAGTAATTTAACATAGTCATCATTCGTAAAATCCATATCTTTTTATAGCAATAGAACAACTTTTTTATCACTTGAGAGTATTCCCTTTTCAGTTGTGATAACAGCGGAAATAGCTAAATATATAAAATGCGGCGTCAGCACCGTAAAAACAACCTGAATGAACCGATCTTTCGCCGAGATGAAATCCGCAATCATCATCCTCATACTCATCGTCTTGGTTGCAGCTGCACCAAAGGTAAAAATCGAAATGTTAGTACCTCGTTCAACATCTAAACCTCCAGAGAACCAAACTGGGTTATCGCAACTTATACAAAGAACCGGTCGTACCTATCGTGGATAAGCCAAACCCTAGAATTATCGGAGGCCAGGAAGCCGTCCCTCACTCTATCCCCTATCAAGCTTTCATCGAAATATACACGTATGAAGACGGGTGGTACTGCGGTGGTTCTCTTTTAACTCCAAACTACGTGGTAACGGCTGCACATTGCGGTCTTGAGTAAGTTTCTACCCGATTAATCAACTCTCTACTATTTTCGTGTTTAGTGGTGAAGAAGCCTATGTAACTCTAGGAGCCCACAATATTATAAATTATGAAGATACACAAATTGAAGATCACACTACAGACATCACAATCCATGCAGAGTACGACGGAGAGAAATTCATTAATGATATTGGGGTGATACGTCTGTCACAACCGGTTACTCTAACTGAAGCTATCACGACAGTTAAGTTGCCTGCAGCTGATGCTGGGGATTTTTCTAAAACAACTGGGAGAGCTAGCGGCTGGGGTGTCACGGTTGGTAGTAGTACCGACTTATCGGAAGTACTTATGTACGTTGACTTGGAAGTAATTACTAAAGAAAAATGCGAAGAAGGCTTCGGGGACTTGCTTGATGGTCCACTTCTTGATTCAATCGTGTGTACTTCTGGACAAGACAATACGGGAGTTTGTAGTGGCGATTCTGGTGGACCGTTGATTGTTGATGGTACTCTTGTTGGTATTACGTCGTTTGGCGTTCGTGATTGTCCATTTGGGTACCCCTCAGCGTACACAAGGGTTACAAGCTTTCTTGATTGGTTAGCTGAGAACAGTGATGTTACTTTGCAATAAAAATAAAAATGTTTTTTCTTTGATAGTTTTGATTAACAAATTCTGAAGTTGTGTGTTCTAATGTAATATTGCATCAGCTATAATCACTCAGGTACTACAAAGATGAGTACCGTGTATTATTAAACAGTTGCAAAAATTTCACCATTTTGTTATCTTTGTTCATGTATCTATAGTCTACACTATCAACTCTTCAAAAGTTTTCGATCACCATCAAGTTACAAAAAACTGGTGATAAGCAGCTGGAATAGATACATATATAAGGCCAAAGTCACTACCAAATCATAGTCTTTAAAATGAAGTCTGCAGTCATATTGTTGGTGGTAGCCACATTGGCATGGGGGGCTCCTAAGGTATATCCAAAACATAACAATCACAAAATTTATTAATTAAATTCCAGACCGGTAAACTAAGCTTTCGCAATCTATACAAAGAAACCGTCGTACCAATAGTCAACCATCCAAACCCTAGAATCATCGGAGGACAAGAAGCAGTTCCCCATTCCATTCCATACCAAGTTTTTCTTGAAATATACAACACAACTAGTGGATGGTACTGCGGTGGTTCCCTTTTGACACCTAACTATATCGTGACTGCTGGACATTGCGGTGCTGGGTAAATTGTTCACCTTTATTTTGTCTTCGATACATTTTTTTTTCAGGGCTCGTCAAGCTTACATAATTTTAGGCGCCCACAAACCCCTAGCTTACGAAGACACTCAGTTACAAATAGTTAGTTCGAATGTCATAGTCCACGAAGATTACGATGGCGAAATCGGAAACGACATCGCTGTTATTGGTCTTCCAGAAACTATAACTTTGACTGATGCCATTGGTACCATCGGGTTACCGAGTGCCGATTCGGGTGATTTTGCTGGACAAATCGCAAGGGCTAGTGGATGGGGATTCATTTATGGTCATGGACCGACTCTTTCCGACGTACTCAATTATGTCGATTTAGAAATTATTACGAACGAAGAGTGTGAAGAAGTTTTTGGAACGTTGGATGACACGATTTTGTGTACTTCTGGGGATAACAACACGAGTACTTGTAGCGGAGATTCAGGAGGTCCTTTAGTTATTGATGGCAGTCTCGTTGGTATTACTTCGTTTGGTGTGCAGTACTGTCCAGGGGGTTACCCTGCTGCATTTACAAGGGTTACCACGTTTCTTGAGTGGTTGGCAACAAACACCGATGTAAAAATATAAAATTTTACTTTAGTTAAATGTTAGTATCGCAACGTATAGTTCCATGAAGTTACATCAGATGTTTCAGCATATATTCTACAAATAAACACTACAATAACGGAATCTATCAATATTTTCCCTGATAAGCCAAATTAACTTTATTATCTCAAAACAATACTTTGTTGTGAAACTTTGTCATATTTTCTCAAAATCGAAACCAACAAACTTTATTTAATGAATCACCTGTCTTGAGTACCTGAAATTTAATAACCAAATCAAAAACTGATAACACAACTCGTATAAATTGCAACACACACAGATTGTATTATTTTGTTGTCAAAATGAAACTCGTTGTAATTTTAACCACAGTGGTCTTGGTTTCGGCCGTTCCAAAGGTGAGTTAAAACCTAAATACGCCTGCTTGCTTACCAGATTTCAGCCCTCTAGACTAGGCTTCCGCAACATATACAAAAACCCTATTAAAACTCTTCACCCAGATGTTAAAACTCCGAGAATAATTGGTGGACATGAGGTAACCCCTCACTCTATTCCTTACTCAGCTTTCTTAGAACTTTACTCCGGTAATGATGGTTGGTACTGCGGTGGTTCCCTCATTTCTGAAAACTATGTGGTAACTTCCGCGCATTGCACCTACAGGTGAGTACCATCGGTACAACCACAAATAAAATTATCGAAAATAGTACGCAGAGTCCTGTTGAAGCAACTATCATTTTGGGGGCACATCGACCTTTTGATCTCGAAGATTCTCAAGTTGAACTAGTCAGTACTGAAATCACCATTCACGAAAACTACGACAATGAAGAAATCGTCAATGATATAGCGGTGATCAAGCTTCCAACTCCTGTTGAATTCAACAATTACATTGACCCTATTGCTTTGCCAAGTTTCAGCGACGCGGATAACGACTATGAGAATGCTCTGGTTACTGCGAGCGGCTGGGGATTGACTGATGGTCATGGTACTACCGTTTCAGAAGTTTTAAATTTTGTTCAACTAACGGTTATATCTAACTTGGATTGTCAAACTTATTTTGGTACTTTAGAGTCATCCATTTTGTGTACTTCTGGTTTGCAGAATAGCGGAGTTTGTAATGGCGATGGTGGAGGTCCTCTGGTTACCGATCAGGTACTAATTGGAATTGTTTCGTTCACGGTACCATACTGTCTTGATGGATATCCTTCAGCGTTTACTAGAGTTACGAGCTTTCTTGATTGGTTAGGAGAAAACACTGATGTTATAATTGAATAAGTTTGTTTGTATTTGACAAAAAATAAAATTTTGAAGACAAAAAACATGACTGAAATCTTTTGATAATAACCCAATATAAACTCACTTCTGCTCTAAGTTTAGCTTGACTTTTTAATATGAAAGTATTTTTGGCACTACAATAATAGGTTGGCAAGGGAAGAAAGCTAAGCCGCTCTGTAGTCTAGTGGTCAAGGCGCCTGCCCGGCAAGCGGGACATGACCGACCCCTAATTCACCTTTTTGAAATTTTGAAAATAATTTCATCAGACTGAATAAATTTTGAACAATGACGAAAACCGCTACTCATTTCCTTAATTATTTTTGCTAAAAGTGGTTATCACTTGAAGTATTCATCTTGTAAAAACAGACGATAACAATCCAATATAAACTAATCTGTTCTTTAAACGTGTAGTTTCAAATCTTTCCACTATGAGAGTGTTTCTGGCAATTTGTGTAGCACTGACAGGGGTTGCAGTTTCGGCCGCACCACAAGTGAGTACTCGGTACCGGAGTCGATATGCCAAAGCCTTAGAAAGTACTCACAATGCACCCAAACCACGAATCGACGGTGGCCAAGAGGCAGTTCCTCATTCCTTCCCTTACCAAGTCTTCGTCGAACTTTACTACAGCCCCAGTTATGGTACTTACTGCGGAGGAGTGCTCATTTCAGCAAATTACGTACTCACCGCAGCACACTGCATTGACAGGTAAATTGTTATCAGAACGCAAACAACAACAAACACTCGACAAATTCTAGTATTTATATCGCTTATGTTATATTGGGAGCTCATAACCTCAAACAAACAGAAAACACTGCAGTACTCAGGATCAGCGAAGAGATGAAACCACATGAAAACTTCAGCGTTTTCTACTATCCGAATGATATAGCTTTGATCAAACTATCAGAAAGCGTGGAATTTACAGATGCTATTCAACCAGTGGCTTTACCAAAACGAAGCGATGTAGACAATACTTTTGTGGATGCTGTTGGTACTATTAGTGGCTGGGGCGCGACTGACTATGTAGACGATTCGATGTCTAGTGTACTGAATTATGTTAATGTTAAGGTAATCACAAATAGGAGTTGTCGTTTGGTGTTTGGTGGTTTGGTTGTTGACAGCATGGTGTGCACTTCGGGTTTAAACCACGCCAGCACTTGTCTGGGGGACAATGGTGGGCCTCTTGTTGTCAATGGTGTTTTAGTTGGTATTGCTTCGTACTACTCTGAGGGGTGTGGTGATCTTGAAGCACCGTCAGGGTTTACAAGAGTGACAAGTTTCTTGGACTGGATTGAGGAAAATAGTGATGTTGTAATTGAATAAGCTATTTCTTTATAGTATTGTTATTAAACTAAGTAGTAGAAGTGCCATAGTCTTTCTTTTTCGACATGTTGTTGAGTGTGACTGACCGCTACTTCACCTTTTGTTATCATTTCGAGTATTCGTTTCGTGAATACGATAACCATCTAATATGAACTCATTCATCATTTAAGTGTTTTGTTTCGTATTTTTCCAAGATGAGAGTGTTTCTGGTTATTTGTTTCGCACTAATAACTATAAAGACCACCCACAATGCATTAGAAACACGAATCGACGGTGGTCAAGAAGCCATTCCCCATTCCATCCCATATCAAGTGTTTCTTCAAGTGTTTACCACTAGCACAGGATGGTACTGTGGAGGAGTACTAATTTCAGCGAATTATGTCCTCACAGCAGCACAATGCATTCACTCGTAAGTTATCGCTTATCACAATACAAACAACAATGGACACTCGACAATGTTTCAGTACCAACATCGCTTATGTGTTCTTAGGAGTTCACAATCTAACACAACAAGAAGACACACACGTATTCAAAATTAGCAATGAACTGATTATACATCAAAATTTTAATATTTCCAACTGGTCGAATGACATAGCTCTTATCAAACTACCAGAAAGTGTGGAATTTACGGATGCCATTCAACCAGTGGCTTTACCAAGACGGAGCGACGTAGACAATTATTTTGTGGGTGCTATTGGTATTGCCAGTGGATGGGGCTTGACTGATTTTCAGGAAGATTATCTTTCTGATGTTTTAAATTATGTCGAAGTGAAGGTAATCACAAACAGGGACTGTCATTTTCAAGATGGTGAGTCGGTTGTTGATAGCATGTTGTGCACTTCTGGTTTAAACCACAGAAGTACCTGTATCGGGGACAATGGTGGGCCTCTGGTTGTAGATGGTGTTTTCATTGGTATCATTTTTTATCACCCAGAGTTATGTGGCGATTCTGAAGCACCATCAATATATACAAGAATCACGAGTTTTTTAAACTGGATTGAAGAAAATAGTGACGTTATAATTGGATGAGTTGCATTAAAAGAATAGAATAACAGCTTTTTAATTTTAAACCTTCGTTTCATTGTTTCATCTCATCTATCAAGATTGATTTCAAAATCCCAAATACGTAAAACCAGGAAACGAATTAACGACAAGAATTAATAAAATTAGATTTCTTATGATAAAACAAACACAAGGACCTATCAATGGATTTAAGATTAAAGTAAACATTAAAAAAAATTAATCAGCACCTGTCATTTTTACGTATTAGATATTTATCCCCGGATTAAGCCTTCTGTCGAGATAAAAACATTCCACTGACCGAATATAAATATCAGAACTCTTTTTCTACACTCCCAGTTCCGGCACCATGAAAGTCGTCGTCATTGTTCTAGCTCTGGCAGCCGCAGTTTCGGCGGGCATTCAACACATTAAGGTAAAAAATTCACACTTGTCTTTACACTTACTTTAAAATCTCGTTCAGGTTGTCGATCCTTTCGTCGAGAATTTAAAATGGGAACCCAACCCCCGAATTGTCAACGGTCAAGAAGCTATCCCTCATTCTCTCCCCTACATGGTTTACATTCTATTTATGGCTTCCGGTTCTGCGTGGATGTGTGGTGGTGCTCTTCTTTCTGAAAATTATGTCCTAACAGCAGCTCATTGCGCAAACGGGTGAGTTTAGTCTTCTTTTGTCTTAATATATGTGTCAAACCCTTTTTTTTTTAGAGCCGAAACCACGTACGTGACTCTCGGTGCCCACAACACCTCAGCTAGAGAAGACACCCAAATCAGACTAACCGTTCCCGCTGCAAATCTTAAACTTCACGAAGAATACGTTTCAAGCGATATAGCGAATGACATAGCAGTCATCAAACTTCCGTCTCCTGTTAGTTTTACCGAGGCCATTCAAACTGTTCGTTTGCCGTCGAAAGCTGATGTCGTAGACGACTTTGTAGGTGCTGTGGCCACTGCCAGTGGTTGGGGTTTGACAGATGGTACGTCAACTACTGCTTCCCAAGTACTTAATTACGTAAATATGGACGTTATTTCAACCGCGGAATGTCGGCTGTACCTTGGACCAACAGTACCCGATAAAAGTGTATGTACTTCGGGATTGGACCAAACTAGTGTTTGTCTGGGAGATTCGGGCAGTCCTCTTGTTACGGAAGGTGTGGTCATTGGAGTGTCTGCGTTCGTGGCAAAAGGTTGTCTTTTGGGGTATCCGTCTGGATGGACGAGGGTTACGGATTATTTGGACTGGATAGCGGCAAATACAGATGTTAAAATTGCCTGTTTGTGAAAAGGCTTTGCCTAAATAAAGATTGTCGTTCATCGACCTACCTTAAATATAACTTGTGATTTCTACTAGTACTATCAATAAGCTTTGACTTTGTATATAAATGAGGACACAAAATAATAATAAATTAATGTTAATTTTAATTTTATTAAGTGAATACTTTCATTGAATAGTCATGCAATCACAACATCAGAATTCTCAAGAATCCAGTCAATGTAACTACTGACTCTTGTGTATCCTGAGGGATACCCAGGAATGCACAAAATCGCCCAAAATGAACTAACCCCAATCAACTTATAGTCAGCCACTAGTGGTCCTCCTACATCTCCTCTGCAAACCCCCACACCCTCATCGCCACTAGTACAAATCCCCGTAGTATCAATATAAGGGAAAAAACTCTTCTTGCATTCCGTATTTTTAATAACCTTGGCATCAAAGTACTTCAATACTGTGGAGTCTGTGGTGTCATCCCCACCGTTCGTCAGTCCCCATCCACTAGCTCTACCAACGTGACCCTCAAAAGTTTCTGCATCATCTAAATCGACTCGGTTTGGTAAAGTTATAGGTTGGATGTAGTCGTTGAATGGTATTTCGTACTCCGTTTTAAGCAGAGCAATGTCGTTCCTAAGATATGAAGCATCGTTACCGCTGTAGTCTGGATGAATAAGAATGTCCCTCGTTATGTATGTTATTTGGTCAGGGCCGACTTCTGAAGTGTCGTGGACACCTAGGTTGATTTCAACTTGCACACCTCTAAAAAAGGGGTAAAGACGGATGATAGTTAGAAGATGGTTCTTACCCCTCGAGGCAACGACCAGAAGTTAGAATGTAGTGGTTGGATATGACGGAACCACTGCATGCCCATATGGTGGTGGTACCAGTAATTACCAGATGAGCTTGATAGGGGATGGAATGAGGGATCGCGGTTTTACCACCTATTATTCTAGGTGATGGTTTGGTTCTATTAGTACCATTATCTTCGAGAGGACGGTTCTGCTTGAAGTAGGTGTTAGTGGTGTTTTAGAAACGTGTTCACTTACCTCTGGGAAAGATGCTACAAGAGCAACTAAAGCTGCGAATAGTACGACTGTCTTCATTTTGTTTGATTTTTAGTTCTGACGGAACTACTACGGCTTTTATACAGACTTTTTTCGTGTTATCAAGTTATTCTTCCCAATATTTTCTTAGTGTTGCATCAGGTACTTTTGACGTAATCTTGACTTGTCAGAGTGTTTTTGTAATCTAATAAACGCTAGACGAAGTACCTAAATGCATTACTTGGCACTATTTTAATCTTTAATAAGTACTATTTTCAGCAAGTTTTAATTTTACAATGAAAGTAAAACCTACATTTTTATACATTTTTGTTGTACTGACTACCATTGTTCAGGTTGTTGAGATTGCGAAGATTTAAAAAAATATGTACATATGTAAAGTGTTTGACTTGAATTAATTGTTAATAGTACGTCAAACTAGTACTTGTAAGATGCAAGAAATTAAACACTAGAGAATCTAGAAAAAATTACAAGGAAGCTCTCTTTTTTTAGAGGGTACCTCATTTGCCAAAATCAGTTTTATCTTAGTAGGAACTAGCCCCGCCCACCCGCCCTCTCTTTTCTTGCAGGATATCTCATCTGCTAAAATCAGTTTTATCGTAGCTGATACTAAGCCCGCCCGCCCACCCTCTATTTTCTTAGAGGCTATATCATTTGCCAAAATCGATCTTAGATTAGCAGGTACTAACCTCGCTCACCCATCCTCTATTTTCTTAGATGGACTCATTTGCCAAAGTCAGTCTTATCATAAGCAGGTACTAGCCCCGCCCACCCACCCTCTTTTTTCTTAGAGGCTATGTCATTTGCCAAAATCAGTCTTATCCTAGCTAGAACTGCCAACATAAGATTGATTTTGGCAAATGAGATCCCTCTAAGAAAATAGAGACCGGGTGGGCGGTATTAGTACCATCTAGTCTAAGATCGATTTTGGCAAATGACATACCCTCTAAGAAAAGAGACGGTTGGTGGGCGGGGTTAGTACCTGCTAATCTAAGATCGATTTTAGGAAATGACATACCCTCTAAGAAAAGAAAGGGTTGGTGGGCGGGGCTAACAGCTCCTAAGAAAAAACTGATTTTGGCAAATAACATCCCCTCTAAGAAAAGAGAGGGTGGGTGGGCGGGGCTAGTACCTGCTAGGACAAGACTGATTTTGTCAAATGACATCCCTCTAAGAAAATAGAGGGCAGGTGGGCGGGATTAGTACCTGCTAATCAAAGATCGATTTTCGCAAATAACATACCCTCTAAGAAAAGAAGGGGTGAGTGGGCGGGGCTAGTACCTGCTGAGATAAAACTGACTTTAGCAGGTACTAACCCCGCCCACCCGTCCTCTATTTGCTTAGAGGGAATGCCATTTGCCAAAATCGATCTTAGATTAACAGGTACTAACCCCGCTCACCCGCCCTCTATTTTCTTATAGGGATGTCATTTGCCAAAATCAGTCTTATCTCAGCCAGGAGCAGATCCAGGGGGGGGGGGGGCAATGGGTCAATTGCAACTGACACATGACCGAGGTACTTTATTTTGACAAATTTCAAAATTTTGAAATCGCTGTTCATTTTGTAAATACAGTACCTACAATCTCTATAATCCGAATTCACGATTATCCGAACATCCAGTAATCCGAACAAAAACTTCTTTAATCCGAACAAAAACTCTGCAATCCGAACTGAACTTGGAAACACCCACCTACTTGGAAAAATGAGTCAAGATCTTTCTACATAAAATATGTTGTATGGAATAGTTTGAAATTTTTAAAAATTGCCACATTTCAATGCACTGGATTATTTAACTAATTCTGTAAAAAAGGTTGAAGTTATCGAAGAAGTGAGGCCCAAGAAAAGGTATTTAGGTAGTTAAATTTCGAAAATCGTCGAAAATGGGTCGAAATTTGCATGAGGAACATTTCATTTTTGAAAAAGTTTCCTAAAAATTCTGAAAAAATTCAGGGATATATGTAGGTATATTCCAACGTGCTGATTCCAAAAATATAGCATGTTAATGGTAACCGAGCAATATTTTCGAAAATTCGGTGTGAAATTCGAATTTTTCGAAATTTTTTAAAAATTGCCATAAGTATTTCAACTGGACGAATCTGGAAAAATGGTTTAAGTTATCGAAGAAATGAAGCCAGAAGTGACTTCTGATGTCCAAAATGTATTTAGTTAAATTTCGAAAATCATCGAGAATACATAATGGAAAATTTCACTTTTGAAAAATTCATCTAAAAAATTCTGAAAAAATTCAGGGTATACTCGTAGATCCCGGCGTGTTGATTCCAAAAAGATAGCGTGTTTATGGTCACGGAGTAATATTTTTTTAGAATGTATCTATTGTCCATTGTTGCTTAAGAATTCTTTAATTTTGTTTGAAAAAATTGAGGTTTATTTCTTGAAGTTTGTTTTCAACTGTGTATGAAGTTGTTATTCAATTTCCTTTCAGATTTTTGGGAAAATCGCTGATCCGAACAAATCGTTAATCCAAACACATCTTTTTCCAAATTAATTCGGATTATCGAGGTTCTACTGTAGACTATACATGTAACGAAAACAACCAAATGTCACCCATGTTATGTGAAAAAGAGTATACCTACTAGTTAAAATTTTTTTGTTTAGGACGAATTCTTGGGAGACAGGTAAAACACACAAAAATTGCCCTCCCCTAAACGAAATCCTGTATCCGCGCCTGATCTTAGCAGGTACTAGCCCCGCCCACCCATCCTCTCTTTTCTTAGAGGGTTTATCATTTGCCAAAATCAGTGTGATCCTAGCTAGGAGCTGCCAAGAAAAGACTGATTTTGGCAAATGAGATCCCTCTAAGAACATAGAGGACGGGTGGGCGGGATTAGTGCCTTTTAATCTAAGATCGATTTTGGCAAATGACATACCCTATAAGAAAAGAAAGGGTGGGTGGGCGGGGCTAGCAGCTGCTAAGATAAAACTGATTTTAGCAGGTACTATCCGCGCCCACCCGTCCTCTATTTTCTTAGAAGGTACGTCATTTGCCAAAATCGATCTTAGATTAGCAGGTACTAACCCCGCTCACCTACCCTCTCTTTTCTGAGAAGGTATCTCATTGGCCAAAATCAGTCTTCTCTTAGCAGCTACTAGCCCCACCCACCCCCCTGTCTTTTCTTAAAGGGTACGTCATTTGCCAAAATCAGTTTTATCTTAGCTGATGACTAACTTTTACAAAAAAATTAACAAAGTTTGGAAAAATTACGAGCTTACTTTTAAGCACAAGGCAGGAATCTTGAACATCTTCTCCAGTGGTTACCTAGTTGGTTATGCTTTAATGGATTTTTCATTTGTTGGTTTTGTTTTTGTTTGTAATTTATAAATGTCTTATAGAGAAGTAAGGATTTTAAACTCCACCCTCTTGGCTGATGATGAATAAAAAAAATCATCACAATTGAGACAGGGTGGGAGGGCGGGGCTTATATTTTGCTTTTTTTTTTCTTGATATACATAGTTTTCTTTTCGCAACAAGAAACTTAACACATTTAAAGAGGAAACTTGGATTTTGTAGTTACGCTCCGCCCTTGGGCCCGACAACGAATGGAAATTTATCACGATTGAGATCCAAACGGATGGGTGGGGCTTATCTTTTGGCACTGAAGAATATTTTTCATATGGTAATTCTTGTAGAAAAACACGGATTTTGAAATTAAGCTCCGCCCCCTGGCTCACGACCAACAATTGTGTTTCTATTTTTTGGTTGTTCAATTTCTCTTTTTGCGATCATTCAATTTTTCGATTTATAGATTTTTTTTTTATTTCGAATTTTACAATATGTCACTTCGATTTTTCAACTATTTTGATTTCTCAGTTGCTGGATTTTTCAATTTCTCGATCTTTAGATAATTCGATTTCTTAATGTTTCAGTTTTTGAATTTTTCGATATTTCGATTTCTCGTTTCCTTGACATTTTTGTAAATTTTTCGGTTTCCCAATTTTTCTTCATTTCAGTTTTGGAATTCTTCAGTCTATCGATTTCTGGAATTTTTGATGTTTTACAATTTTTTAATTTCTTGATTTATCGAGATTTCGATTGTTCAGTTTCTCGATTTTTCCATTTTTCAAATCTTTCGCTTTTTTTTAATTTTAAATTTTTCGATGTTTCAATTTCTCGATCTTTTAATTGTCGATGTTTCAAAGTCTTTGAATTTTTCGGTATTTATTTTGTATTATATATTTTATTTATTCCAGTTTTGGAATGTTCCACTCTTCTTAAATTTTTCGATTTTTCGATATTTCACTGTTGGCATTATTTTATGAAATTTTTTATCTTTTTTTTTTTTAAGAATAATAATAATAATAATATTTATTAAACGGAGCGATTGTTCTCCTTTATCATGTAAATACAGAAAATAAATACAATTACTTATAACTGACATCGATTTCATCACAAATGTACAGTATACAATATACAACATAAATAACGTAACATACCATTAAACAAAAAATATATAACACATTACAACAAAATTATCCTGCACTTAAAGTGTTTCGTACCAAATTTTTAAAACGGTGCATAGAAGTGGTCACAAATGGGTCGATGTCATATTTATTAATAATTTTGATCTACTAATTCGAGACCGACTGGTATTCATACCATAATAATTTAAAAAGTTAATAATTTCGAAAGTTACTCAGACATTTTGTTTTTTTGGTTACTTTCTGCCACATTTCTTTGAAATTTCAATTACTTTTCAAGAAACACTAAAATAAAACATCTCCATTTTTGGGATATTTTGAAAATTTGATTTTGAGTTAGAAAATTTTGAACATCTTAATCTGGACCATATATCTCGGAATTTTTCAATACTTTGATAAAATTTTTGATTTTTTTCCGAGCATTTTGGAAAATTATCGAAAGACAAATTTTGTTAATTTAGACTTCCAGAAGTCATTTTCAGCCACATTTTTCAATATTTCAACGACTTCCATAGTCACCAAAATGACATGACTATTTTGGGATATTTTAAAAATTTAATATCGAAACAGAAAATTTTCAAATTCTTGACCTGGTTCCATAAACAGCTACGTTTTTCGAATCAACTCGTCGATGTCTACAATTTTCCATAATTTTTTTGGGGACTTTTATCCAACTTTGCCAAAATCCTAATTTTACAGTACTTAACTTCGAGTTTTTGATTTTTGACTATTTTGGTTTCTCAGTTGTTGGATTTTTGAGTTTCTTGATTTTTTGATATTTCAATTTCTCGATTTTTCAGTTTTTCGATTCTTCAATTTTCCGATTTTTCAATTTTTGATATTGTTTCAATTTTGGCTTTTAGATTTATCGATTTCTCGAATTTTCGATTTTTTCAGTTCTTTGATATTTTTCAATTTTTCGATTTAGTTAATTTTTCATTTTTGGATTTTTTGATGTTTTGATTTGTGGTTAATCGATTTTAAAAATTATTCCACTTTTCGAATTTTAGATTTGTCGACCTCACAATTTTTTTAGTTCTTGATTAATCGAGATTTCGGTGTTTCGATATTTTGAATGTTCAGTTTTGATTACTCAATTTTTCGATTTGTTGATTTTTTGATTTTCGATGTTTCAGTCTTTAAATTTTTAGGTCTTTATTTTATATTATATATTTTCTTTATTCCAGTTTTGGAATTTCTCATTCCTTTTATTCTTAGATTTTTCGATTTTTCAATTTCTCGATTTTCAATGTTTCGATTATTCAATTTTTCGATATTTCAGTGTGGACATTGTTTTTATGAAATTTTGTATGTTGTCTAAACAATTTCAAAAATTATCCAACATTTTTTTGTTCTGGATATTTTTCTTTCACATTTAATGCACAATCACTGGTTGTTATAGTTATTTCCTAAAAAAATAAAAGGTATAGACATTCTTGTATTCTACGGACTGTAACGCACCAGAAATACGATTCTGTTTTCAATGTAGTTACCATCAAACTAATTGTATTGATAAATCAAATTCACAAACAAAATCTCATTAACTTTTGATAAGTGGCTTCGAATACGAACACTTAATTAGACCCCAGATAGTCACCCTGTGTTCAGTATTTAATTAATAGACGCTGTCAAAGCGCCAAAAACGCTATTGATTATTGACTGCTTAATTCCTTTAATTCTAGTCGAAATAATCACGGGTTTCCGCAGCTACTAATTATCTACTTAGATACAATTAGGTTAATTTTACTCACACAAAAAAGACATTTCTGACCCTTAAAAGCGGCTGTAAGTAAATACGTCGGGGACTCAACGAGTGACCACTGAAGACACCATGAGAATCACCGTCAACGTAAAAATATAAATTTACAAACAATCAATTTTTATTCGTTCTTTTAGGACTACAACCTCTGTGACTCTTTCGCACTCGAAAAAAAGCTCCTCCTACTGGCAGGTTTCTACCCCAATAGAGAGAAAAAGTACCTGCGCCTCTACTACTTAAGCGCTTTTATTAATTTGGTCATCTCGTATGGACAACTCGTCACCATGGTCATTCAAATGGTGTTAGACCGAAGCGACCTCTTGAAACTCACCGAATCCCTTCTTTACTTTTTCACTCACTTTACTTTCATCTGTAAACTATTAAACTTCCAGTGCTACTTCAACGAATTAAAGAAAATCGAAGACTTTCTAACAGATCCAGCATTTTACGGATTTTCTTCGACACAGTTGGAAATTATCAAAATAAAAATACGTTCTTGCGACACCATCGCAAACATCTTCAGGGTTTGTTGCTCGTGTACCATCACGTTTTACTCAATGGTGCCTTTTATTGACGCAACCAGAAAAGGGGCGTTACCTTTACCAGGATGGTTTCCGTATGATATACAAAAGTACTACTCAGTGACGTTTTTTCTGCAAGTGGTGAGCGTTATTATCAGCGCTTATGGTAATACAGGCATTGATATTTTGACTTGGAAGTTGATATCAATAGCCTCGGCTCAGTTTGAAATTTTGAAACAAAATTTAGAAGAAATTGATTTTGAAAATGATTTTGACGAAACAAAGGAATTACTAGTGAAGTGTATAAACCACCATTTAAAAATCGTGGAGTAAGTTTATAGTGTGGTTAAGCACTGTTAACTGTGTGTTGTAGGTTAACCAAGAAAGTCCAAAATGCGTTTTCTAAAGGTATGTTTTTGCAACTGTTTTGCAGCATTGGTGTCATTTGTACCAATGGTTTTCAAATGGTACTGGTGGGTACTACATCGTTTTGTAAGCGCTATTTTAATAATGTGGTACTAAATAGGTACCCATTGCTAGCAGTCAGTTCGCCTTTTCAGTCTCCTACTTGTGTGGAATGACGTGTCAGATTGCCACATACTGTTGGTACGGCCATGACGTCATGACAACGGTAGTACTGTTACTCACCAAATCCTCGCCACATTATTTTTTTTAGAGTGATGAAATCGCCAGATCTCTCTACATGTCGAACTGGTACCAAGGTGACCACAGAATCCGCAAAATGTTGACAATATTTCTAGAAAATGTCAAAAAACCCATTCTTATCAAAGCCGGAAACTTTGTGACCTTATCTCTGGCAACACTAACGCAAATTCTGCGTTCAGCATACTCTTATTTTGCAGTTTTGCAACGTCTTTACAACGATGCATAGTAAAAACACAACTAAAATGTTGTAAAAATATTTATTAAAAAACACTTACAAAGTGAATAATTTAAACATAGTACCCTTTTATTTTCGTTTGCCTGCCATGGGGGTCCGTTCATCATAATTAACCGCAGGCAAATTCCTTCTAGGTCTCCTCTCTTCTTGGTCCAGAATTTTCTTTGGACTCCTCTTGCTCTCTTTGTTCTGCTTATTCATTCGTCGATTGTGTATTTCCATCATTGCCGCATTGTAACCCTCAAACTGGTTCACCGGACTCAAAACTCCGTTGACTTTTTCTTTCTTAGTTTGTGTTTTTTTCTTCTTTTCGGCTTCCTTTTCCTTTTTTCGCGCCCAAACCTCCTTCATGGCATCAGTCATATTGCTAATTTCGACCGGTTTTTCTTTAACTTCACGCTTTTTAACTGGCTTCATCTCCATGTCTGGTGCGACTTCTTCGTCTTGTTTCTTCTCCCGCTTTCTAACCGGTTTCTTCACTCCCATTTCATTTTGTTCAAGTTTTTGGTCGTCAGTTTCAGGTACTACACTTCTTCTCTTTCTAGCTGGAGTGTGGAATTCTAGAGGACCATTAACCGTGGCTCCGTTTTTTTTAATCTCTTGTTCGAATAAAGAGCGAATTTTTTTGTAGTCTGGTTTTTCGTCAAATGTGAGGTTGTTGACGTACTCTAGGTACTTCACGAGTACTCCTACAAAAAACTAATTTTATTAAAAATTAAAATTTTGAAAATTCTCACCTTCAGTCTTCTTTAAACAACTCTTTACAAACTGTGGAATGTTACCCATGCTAGTCTCTTTCTTCTGTTGGACTTCTTTAGGGTTGTCTAATTTGGACTCCCAAGGTAAAGGTCCACCCAACCACTGTATTAAATTGTAACCTAAGATTTCAAAGTCACCTCGTCGTGTGGGTACTAAAATGAGCTTTTTTAATGATGTAACTAACTAAAGGTTACCACGGTTACCTCCATGATGGGCGTCGCGGCTGAGATACTCTATTGTACCATCATGGGCCTTTTTAGGATTAGGCTTGAATTGTTTTTCTGTGGTAAATTTTGTTGCTAAACCAAAATCAACTAGATACATCTGATTTTTTGTTGTAGGGGAAGTCCCGAGCATGATGTTACCGCCTTTGATATCCGCATGGACGTAACCGAGTTCATGAATGTATTCCAAAACGTACGTCTAAGCAGACAAAAAAATTGTATCAGTGGTATTTGGTATCATCTCTGAATATTTATGATTCGTTCAAGATTATTCGCCGCTGCACTACCTGTCACTACAGATCGTCAACAATGAAGCAAGATTGAACGTTTTTACAGCTTTTTCATGTTTGTATATGTGACAAGTGAAAATGTAATATTGGTTTAAAATTAAATATTACAAGCATGTCATGGTCTACTACCCACTTATTTGCCTCTTTGATCAATCAAATTAAAAACTAATTTATTCTTAACCAATCAATATTACCGTGACCTCCATAAAACTGTCTCAACTTACAATCTGCCACGCCAACTGAAACACAGTGCTGAGTGGAAGCACCCCCTTATTTTCCGCCCTTAACTTATCAATATCAGTTCCAAATTTCTCCATAACAATAAACCTATACTTCATACTTCCAGCTTCATGTGAGCCAGATCCCAAATACACAGGCATTCCGAAAGTTTTCAGCTTATGTTTCTTCATAAAAGCATCAACTGAAAAATTAAATTAGAACTAATAACTCAAATTTCTAGCAACTCACCATCAGCTTGTTTTGCGTTCTTCATATAAAAGTGCATCTCGACGAACAAGGGACCGTTACCGTGGGGTTCCACTTTGACGACATAGGGGTATTTTGATCCTTTGGAAGAAGCTTCCTTGGCACAATAAATTTCCCCAAAGCCCCCTTTTCCAATTGACGATCCCAATATCCACTGCTTTTTGGCGATGTCTGTTAGGAGTTCTCCGGCTGGAAGTGGATCTGGCATTTTATACCCGTTGGTTGCTTTTTTACGGGGCTTCTTAGGGGCCTTTGCCATCTTTTAGGTTAGGTTAATTAACACAACAAAAATAATAAAATGTAAACACGACACATTGAATGCACATGATAAGCAAAACAAAACTACATGGGTGGTTTTTTTTTTGTTTGTTTAATTTTTCGGAATTGGGTAAAAAACTTGTGACGCAAACTGATAACCCGCGAAATCGGAAGAAGTCGGTTTGAAGCCGTTTGACAGATTTGACAGGTGGTTGAGGTGGCCCCACAGTAGGAAGTTATGCTGATTGCCTATGCATTTTTTTTTTACATTTTTAAGAACTAGACACACTTCCAGAGCTTAAATATTTTTTAAAAAACTCAAAATTTCCAAGTCAATATTAAACAGTTCTTTCTTCTTTCTTCACTTATGACGGCTGTTCGGATGTCGTTGTTGGCATGTTATGCAACCTACAATACACCTAAGCGGAGACTGTCAATTTTAAACATTACTAAACAAATTCTCAAAAAATTCAGGGCTATAGATCTTGACGTGCTAATTCCAAAAATATAGTGTGTTTAGGGTCACAGAGTAACATTTTCGAAATATTCGGAGTAAAATTCGAATTTTTTGAAATTTTTTCAAGAGGCGATTCTAGAAAAACGGTTGGAATTATCGAAGAAATGAGGGCGGAAGTGACTTCTGTCGCCCGAAATTTCCAAGAAAATGTACTTGGTTAAATTTCGAAAATCGTCAAAAATGGATCGACATTTGCATAACGGGGGAAAGTTTCATTTTCCAAAAAGTCATCTAAAAATTCTCAAAAAATTCAGAGTTATGGATCTTGACGTGCTGATTCCAAAAATATTGGGCGTTTAGGGTCACACAGCAATATTTTTGAGAAATTCGGAATAAAATTCAAATTTTTTTGAAATTTTTAAAAATTGCGATATTGCAACGGGTGATTTTGGAAAAACCGTTGGGGTTATCGAAGAAATGAGACCGGAAGTGACTTCTATGGCCGGTAATCTCCAAGAAAATGTATTAAGTTAAATTTCGAAAACGTTAAAAATGGGTCGAAAATTGCATAATGGGGGAAAATTTCATTTTCGAAAAAGTCGTTTGAAAATGCTCAAAAAATTCAGGGTTCTATATAGCGTGTTTAAAGTCACGGAACAATATTTTCGAAATATTTAAAATGAAATTCGAATGTTTTGATATTTTCAAAAATTAGGATATTTCAATGGCTGATTCTGGAAAAACTGTTGGATTTATCGAAGAAATGAGGTCGAAAGTGACTTCTGCGTTCTGAAATCTACCAGAAATGTATTTAGTTCAATTTCGAAAATTGTCGAAAAGGTCGAAATTTACATATAGGTACTTTGTAGAAAATTTCATTTTTGAAAAAGTCAACTAAAATTTCTCAAAAAATTCAGGTTTAGAGATCTCGACGTGCTGATTCCAAAATTATAGCCTGTTTATGGTCACAATATTTTCGAAATATTCCAAGTAAAATTTGAATTAATTGAAATTTTGCGATCTTTCAATAGAAGATTCGGGGAAAAACGGTTGGAGTTATCGAAGAAATGAGGCCGGAAGTAACTTCACGGTCCGAAATCTGCACGAAAATGTACTTAAATTTCGAAAATCGTCGAAAATAGGTCGTAATTTGCATAATTATTGTTAGCATATTGGAAAATTTCATTTTTGAAAAAGTCGTCTAAAAATTCTCAAAAAAATATGTTCTTCTGTCAAGTGGGTGTGGAAACTGGAAAATGGCGCAAAAATTAATAATAATTTCCTTTTTTATCTAGAAAATTTTTATAGAGAGCTATTTTGAGAAAACTGAAAAAACTTCCGAAGAAACGAAGCCGCAAATGACTTCTGGATATCGAAATCTACAAGAAAATGTCTTCAACTCTATTTTCTTGGAAGGTACATATGTCATTTGCCAAAATCAGTTTTATTTAAGGAAGTACTTGTCCCGCCCACCCGCCCTCTATTTTTTGGAAAATACGTCATTTGCCAAAATCAGTATTATCTTAGGAAGTACTAGCCCCGCCCATCCCCCTCTTTTCATTCTAACGACTAATTTTGTTTCTGTTCAGTATAAGATCATACATCTCATTCAGTTCGGATAAAATCAATCACTAATTTTGTTTCTGTTCAGTATAAGATCATACATCTCATTCAGTTCGGATAAAATCAATCACTGAAAAGGAGACAGGGTGGGTGGCCGGGGCAAAGTATGTTCTTCTGTCGAGTGGAGATGAAAACTAATAATAGAAACTGGGATGTGAAAAAAGTAAAAAAAAGCGCTAGTCGTAACAATTTTTTGTTCAAATACATTAGTCTTATCTTATCAAGTACTAGCCCCACCCACCCTCATTTTCTTACAGGGTATGTTATTTGCCAAAATCAGTCTTATCTTAGCAAGTACTAGCCCCGCCCACCAGCCCTCTATTTTACTGGAAGGTATGTCATTTGCTAAAAACATTCTTATCTTAGCAAGTACTAGCACCACCCACCCACCTTCTTCTCATTCTAACTGCCAATTTTGTCTCTGTTTAGTATAAGATCATACATTTCATTCAGTTCGGATAAAATCAATCACTGAGAAGGAGACAGGATGGATGGGCGAGCTAATTATGTTCTTCTGTCGAGTGGGGATGGAAACTAATAATAGAAACTAGGATGTGGAAAAAGTAAAAAAAAAGCTCTAATCGTAACAATTTTTTGTTAAAATCAGTCTTATCTTTTCAAGTACTAGACCAGCCCACCCACCCTCATTTTCTTACAGGGTATGTTATTTGCCAAAATCAGTCTTATCTTAGCAAGTAGTAGCACCACCCACCCATCTTCTTCTCATTCTAACTGCCAATTTTGTTTCTGTTTATATAAGATCATACATTTCATTCAGTTCGGATAAAATCAATCACTGAAAAGAAGGCAGGGTAGGGTGGGTGGGCGGGGCAAAGTATGTTCTTCTGTCGAGTGGGTATGGAAACTAATAATAGAAACTAGGATGTGGAAAAAGTAAAAAAAGCTCTAATTGTAACAATTATTTGTTAAAATCAGTCTTATCTTTTCAAGTAATAGACCAGCCCACCCACCCTCATTTTCTTACAGGGTATGTTATTTGCCAAAATCAGCCTTATCTTAGCAAGTAGTAGCACCACCCACCCATCTTCTTCTCATTCTAACTGCCAATTTTGTTTCTGTTTATATAAGATCATACATTTCATTCAGTTCGGATAAAATCAATCACTGAAAAGGAGACAGAGTGGGTGGGCGGGGCAAAGCAACCATTGAAAAGTAGACAAGGTGGGTGGGCGGAGCAAAGTATGTTCTTCTGTCGAGTGGGGATGGAAACTAATAATAGAAACTAGGATGTGGAAAAAGTAAAAAAAAGCACAAGTCGTAACAATTTTTTGTTAAAATCAGTCTTATCTTATCAAGTACTAGCCCCGCCCACGCACCCTCATTTTCTTACAGGGTATGTTATTTGCCAAAATCAGTCTTATCTTAACAAGTACTAGCCCCGCCACCCGCCCTCTATTTAATTGGAAGGTATGTCATTTGCTAAAAACATTCTTATCTTAGCAAGTACTAGCACCGCCCACCCACCTTCTTCTTATTCTAACTGCCAATTTTGTCTCTGTTTAGTATAAGATCATACATTTCATTCAATTCGGATAAAATCAATCCCTGAGAAGGAGACAGGATGGGTGGGCGGAGCTAATTATGTTCTTCTGTCGAGTGGGGATGGAAACTAATAATAGAAACTGATGTGGAAAAAGTAAAAAAAAAGCTCTAATCGTAACAATTTTTTGTTAAAATCAGTCTTATCTTAGCAAGTACTGGCCCCGCCCACCCGCTCTCTATTTTATTGGAAGGTATGTCATTTGCTAAAAACATTCTTATCTTAGCAAGTACTAGCACCACCCACCCATCTTCTTCTCATTCTAACTGCCAATTTTGTTTCTGCTTATATAAGATCATACATTTCATTCAGTTCGGATAAAATCAGTCACTGAAAAGGAGACAGGGTGGGTGGGCGGAGCAAAGCAATCATTGAAAAGTAGACAGGGTGGGTGGGCGGAGCAAAGTATGTTCTTCTGTCGAGTGGGGATGGAAACTAATAATAGAAACTAGGATGTGGAAAAAGTAAAAAAAAAGCGCTAGTCGTAACAATTTTTTGTTAAAATCAGTCTTATATAATCAAGTACTATCCCCGCCCACCGACCCTCATTTTCTTACAGGGTATGTCATTTGCCAAAATCAGTTTTATCTTAGCAAGTACTAGCCCCGCCCACCCACCTTCTTCTCATTCTAACTGCCAATTTTGTTTCTGTTCAGTATAAGATCATACACTTCATTCAGTTCGGATAAAATCAATCACTGAAAAGGAGACAGGGTGGGTGGGCGGAGCTAATGATGGTCTTCTGTCGAGAGATTCTATTTTTTGTTTAATTAAACACCAAAAATCACAAGATTCTTTCAAATTTTTAGAAAAAGACATCAAGGACATTAAGAATTTTTCGATTTTTTTTTATGAAAATATCAAAGTTCCCAAAATTCTTTTAAATCTTTTCAAAAACGAAACACCAAGTGTCCCTAAGTTTTTTTTTTAATTGTTTACGAAACAAACCAACATCAAGGACCTTCAGGATTCTGTCAATTTATCTAAAAAATGCCAGAAATTCCACGAATTGTTAAATTTAAAGAACTTGACACGCTGATTCCAAAAATATAGCGTGTTTAGAGGCACGGAACAATATTTTCGAAATATTTGAAATGAAATTCGAATGTTTTGATATTTTCAAAAATTACGACATTTCAGTGGCTGATTCTGGAAAAACGATTGGATTCTGCAAGAAAAAAGATTTAGTTAAATTTCGAAAATCGTCAAAAATGGGTCGAAATTTGCATGAGGGAGGTATACATAGTGATGGAAAATTTCATTTTTGAAATAGTTGTCTACAGGGATAGGTATATATATCCCGAGGTGATGATTTAAAAAATGTAGCGAGTTTATGGTCACGCAGCAACATTTTCGAAAGAATCTGTATGAAATGCGAATTTTTGAAAATTTCTAAAAATTTTGATATTTCAACGGACGATTCTGGAAAAACTGTTGGAGTTATCAAAGAAACGAGGCGGGAAGTGTGTTCTAGACCTCGAAATCTACAAGAAAATGTACTTAGTTAAGTTCCAAAAACGTTCAAAATTGTCCGAAATTTGAAGAAGGGGAGAAAATTGAAAAAAA